GCCTCTATTCTTATTTTGACGGTTTTTCCTATTCCGCCGGAACATTCGTCCCATCTCGGTGTATTGTTGTAATGCTCGGTTATTGAGCCATGCATGCCATCGCCAAATGGAAATGTTCACGACTGGATCAGAACGACTATCTCCCTTGTGAATAGAAGTAATCAACCCGTATTTCCATATGTCGGGCACATATCTTTCTTCAAAACAGTGTTGGAAGAATCGAGTCAAAAGCTCAGCTATACTCTCTCCTACGACCTCGGGTACATGTTATCAGTTGTGCTTACGCAGACTCAGTAGCATATTAAGTACAGTTTCTGTCCTGAAGGATATATGAGTGCGTTTTGGGGGTTAGACAACACATGGAATAGGGCCAGGTGATCACTGATCACGCTAAAAGATTGGAGCATATCGCAGGCGCAGGGTATTCGTCGCATTCTTCGGGGTCCTTGTCAGTCCATCTGCTGTTTGACGAGGAGGAATTTCCCGCTCCACCTTACGTAGACCATTTACATTTTGTTACAGCAGGATGTGATTTGAGACTATACTCAGTGCCAACTTCTGCTGGTATGTCATTTTATCTACGTCTCGGTGCTCGGAGAGAGCTTAAGGATATTCCAGGACGAGTATTGCACAGCTATACACTTGCGTGTCCTGCTTCGCACAAAGGAAACTACGTTTCTCGGTGGACAGCCTTAGTTTCAGATGCTGGTGCAAATAGAGATTAAAACTGCCTGCTGAAATGATGCCTCACGCTAGCCGCTGCCTTGTCTGCTAGAAAGGTTCAGTTGGTTGTCTCATCTAGTCCAGCTAATATGTCGTGGCGTTTACTCGTTCTGGTTGTGTCGGTAGTTTCCACGGGATATGCTGCATAACATGCGTTCAAACGGTAAAATTACATGATCGCTGCAGCCCAAGGGCACGTTGACGATAACGCTCTCGATCATCAGTTCATCGTCGGTAAATATCCGATTATCCGAATATCGGCCAAGCTGACGCTCTATCTCGCCTCATCAGTTCCCAGTCGAAGGAAAACGATGACTGTGTGATCGCATCTGTCAAATTCGAGTAGGAAGTTCAGCGGATCCTGGTTGACAGTGTAAAGGAGTTGTCAGTAACTTCGGACACGATTTGTGCAGAGACGGCTCAAGATAAGATCTTGCTGAAAGTGATAGAGTTAGTGCAGTCCGGTTGGCCTAATGTCAGAATTTCGACTGAGTTACGACCTTTCTTTAATCGACGCGGATCTCTTTCGGTCGTTGACAATTGTTTAATGTTTGGAAACCGAGTCGTGGTACCAAGAAAGTTGCGGAACCGAATACTACGGCAGTTTCATTCAGGACATCCGGGAACCAGCCGAATGAAGGCACTGGCACGAAGTTTTATGTATTGGCCTCAAATGGATTCAGAAATCGAACAGTTTTGCCAAAGTTGTGAATCTTGTCAGCAAGCGGCAAAGGCACCTCCAAAATGTCCGTGACAACCTTGGCTCGAGTCGAAGAAGTCCTGGCAGAGTCCACTTGGATTATGCGGGGCCAATCACTGTTCTGACGCTGCTTCTTTCCCCCAGTTCTCAATCACTGACAACTGTTGTACTGCTTGCCTTGCTGCCCGGAGACTGCGACTGTCTGGCTGCTCAGTCACGCGTCCAGTCAACGGAAGGAACACAAAAGGCCAGAACTCGGTAGATAGAGAGTATGTACCTACAGGATAGGTTAACACTATTTATTAGTAACCGAAACATGTTATTTAGGAGGTCAAGGTCACTCACTATTTTACGGCTGGGTTGCAGCCAGTGTGAGTGAGTTCCGCCCCACGGGGTTATCATATTGACCGAATAGTTCGATCACTTTGAGGCAGGCTGGTATTTGCTGGTCGATAAATTTGCACTCGATTCCCAAATTCAGCTCCGCTTATCTCCTTATTAGTACCCTGAAGCTCCCTACTTGATCCGTAAGGCCACGGAGCTGGAATCCGAAGCAAACTAGAAACAAGTTATTCCCAGGTAAAATACATATATTCTTAAAAGAAATGACATCAGATGAAGAACGGATAAAAAATAAGCGATTAAACATAAAGTACATTTAGGACTTAAAGCACGCGGGGAGACCCCTTACAAAAAATATGTAGCTTAGAAGGCCCATCCGGAGTAAAAACACAAAAATGGGAATTACGGTGAGATTCTTTTTTATACATAGATAAAACATGGCTGAATCGAAAGAGCATACAAAACAACATAAGATGGATATAAAACGAGGGATAAAGTGGCCCGAGCTCCACGGAAATGCACTTAAGGCAAACGCATGACTCATGTTCGATGATTGAACATGTTTTGTACGGTTTTTACAACACCGTTAGAAATCATCCAAAAAATTTTCAGTAGGGATGGATCATACAAGGAGGAATCGATTGGCGTATTATAGTACACGATTCGTAGCGACTACGCATAGTAGCCACAACAAATGTCAGAGCTCCGGTTCTGCGTCCCCCGTCTGCCAACTGCCGCCCCCTAATCCTACTACCTGTGCTTGCAAAGGTCATGGCGGTCAGTATGGAGCACCAACGGCCTACTTGGAAGCGTCTACCTACGTTGCATGAGAACAGCATTGTATCCGAAGAAACTGATCATGTACTATTACTACTGCTAGCTAGATTCAGCTGGACCGAAGCAGTGGACACTGGCACAGGAGTTGATGTACTTTTCCTTGACTTATCATAAGCCTTAGACCGGTTAGAGTTGACATTCTGCTCTCCAAACTCCCTATCTATGGTATTCGTTATTGTCTACAGTGGATCCGAAGCTTTCTCTTACACTGGCGCTTGGAGGTCAGAGTGCGCACATCCCTACCAGATCCCATCCAAGTTAAACGCGGAGTTCCACAGGGATCGGTAATGAGATCACGTTTGTTTCTGATGTATATCAGCGTTATCACAAGCCACACCAGCTCGAGCTGCTTGCTCTATGCTGATGACACCTAGATGTGGAGGGCGATCAGTACATCAGATGACATTACTACTTCAAACCAATCTGGAAAGGATTTACGTGTGGTCAATTCAGCATCCACTTCGGTTTACTGTGGATAACTGTAGTGCTGTACTTGTGGCACCACCTAATGCGTACCTACAAAGAGGGCAACTAGGAGCTTCAAACGTCTTCTAGAAAAAGATTTGGGCGTTTTGGTCCAGGCCGACCTTGGATGTTCGAATCAAGCTGAAAAGGCGTCAAGAAGGGGCATCCAACACCCAAGCCTACTGAGGCGTCCATCCGTACGATTCGACCAGTCTATTTTTCAACACCTCGGCGTATATAAACGTCCACATGCGGAATATGAAATACATGTCTGGCAGCCCTGACCAAGGAGAGATCTCACCGCCTTAAAGGTACCCGAGTGCCGGGCAAACAATAGTGTCAGAGGTTTGTATCATCTACCGTATGAACAAAGGCTATGAGCGCTCGGGGTCTTCATTGGACAATACCGGCAATTACATGAGGACCTCATTCTGATTTACCAGATTTTGAGAGACCCCAAGGACATGCACCGCCATCTGTTATTTATGAAAGAACCTTGTTCTGCACATCTAAGTAACTCTTTTCTGTCCGGAGGTATCAACGAACAAATTACGGAGTGATTACCAAAATCCATTGATATCACCGCACACCTCGGTTGCCCGGTATGTTTGAACCGATGAAACATCCACTCGTGAACACTTTTCATATGAACGGATTGAACGCAACCCCTTCTTGACGATTCGATTAAAAATGTGGTCGGATTAACCACACGGTCAGTGCCTCGCAATATTGAGACATAAACGATTATTTTTGTTTACTTATGACTAACTGTTTGCACCCCTACTGTTAAGCTAAATACTTCTTCTTCTGTCCCGGAGGCGACAGTTCAGGAACGGAGAGCAAGCCTCATTGCTCAACACTGTTAATTGCTGTATTTTTTGAACGCAATCAAATGATGAATCTGAAAATTATTTTCAGAAATGTCAAGCATATCAATATAACAAGCAGTCACCCGTTTCGACATTTCCCCTGTACAATTCGATCGAGCGCTCTTTCTTGCGCACATATTTTATACTCTTCATTACTTCGCTGTGGTCCACGACTGGGCCGATCTCCTGAGGTGATGGATTAAAGCTTCCAACGCTAATAATTATACCCATGCAAGGCGCATTGCCATTGGTTCTCTGGTGATAAAAAAGTGCTTGATTCAAAATTACTAGGTGGTTTGACAGTCCACACTATAGAGGCAGAAAAACAGCCCTAAAGGTGTTATATAGGTGATTGTTTATCTGCGTTAAAAGCCACACTGGCACACGGCGAAATGGGGCATGAAAGTGTGGGTGAAACCCATCGAGAGAAGAATCCGCATGGAAGCAGGTCCCCAGGAGACGGTTCCATGGACGGCCGTATTACTTCACTTGTACATTTAGATTTATCTACACTAAATATTTTTTAAAACCTCAGTCTTTCCGCAAAATCTAACCGATCAATTAGCCATGTCCACCAAATAAAGCTTGAGGATTGCTTTGGCAAATTAAAACACTAAAACACCTCCCATGATGTCGCGACGGTGTATGTGAAAGCGGGCTTGTAAAAAAGGGGGCGAGGAGACAGGTCAGACGGAACGAAATGGTGAAGCATCCATCACAATTGCTTTTACTTATACATGTCCGATCAAAATAGGTACCTTTTTTATTCAGCCGAAAAATAGGTGTATCTGTGTAGTTATTTTGTCCAGTATTTAGCGCTGTCCGTTGCCAAACCAGAACGCTGAACCACTGCAAGGTATTCATATCCCCAATGAGAGTGCGAGGTTGGTCAAAGAATTATTCTATACAATTTCCAATTGTAAAGTAAATACAGACTGATGCTGTAAGAGATGAGGTGTGTCAGTCATCCTGTGATACATAGCAATGAACTTTTGTTACCGTGATGTCATCTAATCCGATTACTTGTCCCAATACAACCGGAAACAAACCACAGCTAGACTTACCTTTCGGTGGATTGTAATCCGCTCAGTGGGAGGTCTCCACACATATTCGCACCGGCTGGTGGTGAGAAATTCTTGGACACCTTCGGAGCGCAGGTTTGTTGGGGTTGGTTGTACCGGTTTCGTCACTGTCATCTGCTGTAATCCAAAGAAAATCTCGTCACAGAGAGGAAAAGCAAAAAGTCCGTCGGCTTTGCAGCCCTATTACTGGAAGATGAAAATAGTACTCAAAAATTTTTCATGAGTAGTCTCAATTAAGTTGTGGATTTTCTAACGGTCATCTGGCCCAAGACGTGGTGGCGAGTCCTAGCAATCAAGTAAGATGACAAAATAATTATGTCGCCCATTAATGAACAGCACTGTCCGAATTGTTGGAACGATTAGGGCGAATCGATGAACCATTGGCGGAGATACGTAAAAGCCCGAACTAAGGCATCCTCATCTACCGCGCTGCTTATTTATGTACGCGACACCCTGCCTCATTCTATGATTTGTTCCTTACCCAACTGGTCAGCGGCACTTTAAATCGACCTTCGAGTAGCGGCATCTCAGGAACAAACTCCTTATGATCGCTTCTCTTAACTGGTTTTCTCTTCGGACATATATAGGTGCATGGAATGCTTAATCGTTGCCAGGCAGAAGACGAATGTTGCGAAAATGTTGCCTGTCTAACATGTGCCACATTCATGCCATTTCTATGCTGCCTAATGGTTTGCTTCACTGGAATGAACTTGCGCTCCCTGGAGTTCGAACACACACTTGTCCGCCATCTACCGTTGTGTACAATGAGATTGTGTCCTCCCACCGGACCCCGGTGTTGTGCTGCGGAAGCATCAGCACCATCACCAGAGCGCAGAGCTTCTCTTTTTTCCTGTCCTGAGTAGCGAACCAGTGTGTCAAAACCATTTCTTTCTACATATACTTTGAGGCACTTGGAAACGTTAATTTACGTTGGGCTTGAGCAGGTTGAACACGTCAATGCATTGATTTTTCTGCATATGTTGTGCATTTCTAAATCATGCACGGATCCTGCAGCTGCGTACGCTGGCTCTTGAAGCCATCCATCCTTGGCGTCTACTCCAAGGGATGGTATAGGTGCCAAAGCACAAGCGTCTGTGCCCAGAATACACATGTACATCCAAGTGCATTTATTGCAAACGCTAATAGTTTCACACCTCTTTCATTCATCACAACAATACAAATTTAGCTGAGAACCTTTACTCTGAGCTTTCTGGCCTACGATGTGTAGAGTTATTAAACTGCACACAGAATGGCGAACTCTCCATCAAGTAGAAATTAGCCGGCATCAGGAGAGAATTACTTGTATATTTTGTAAATGTTTACAAGAACGGAATATCGAGCTGTTCATAAAGCAAATGTTGTTATAACAAGGAGCCAAGTTTTATGGCGTAAAAACCCATTGCTACAATCCGAACATGGTGTTTTTGTGTTGTGAAACATTTGTTCTTGTCGCCTCTTTCACACAAACACACCACTCGGGCCTCCGGGTTCCTATTTGACCAAATGTGAATTCGACTGTAAGACTGGTACTGGTGTGTTTTCTTCGACGTTTCACCCGGTTTTAAGTCCATTGTGTCAATACATCTTGTGTTGCGACCTCCGCGTTTTTGCACTCATGACGAAATGAAGCAGGTGTTCAGTTTTACTCCGAGAGTCCTAACAGATTGTGGCGACGGAGGAGCCCTTAATCACGATGACACTCTCACCACAATTTCTGAGACCACTATGTCTAAGCAACAGCAACAATTTTAGGCTTGTCCGTTATGCTTGGCGAGACAGTTGTCAAAAATTTATTTCCCCTAGTCGACAGCTTCTCAGCATGTTACCAAAGGTTCGGTTGGTGCATTAATCTACAGCATTAGTAAAGTCATTGTTGACCCCAAATGAGATTTCATAATGCGTCCAAGATCCTCATACCGCTACGGAAGCTCGGAGCAATTGAACACGAGATATACGCCATTTTATTTTACTCAAGGGTGTACATGAATTTAACTCGACGATACAAGTACACACCTTACTGGAGTGTTCAGTGATTAGTCATCATTTCTCAAGAACCGATATAACTGCTTGACGCTGAGTAAAAAAGATGGTGACATTCTCATTCCCACAGGGCCACAGTGGAACGATAATCCTGAAAGTTCAGACTGAAATTGCTTACTGGAGATCAGTTTGAGTGCCTGATACCGGTATGCAGCCTACAGTCTCCTAATGATGCTGAGATACGGACCAGAGTAGTTTGGATGCTGGATCGAGACTTTCGACTCACAATGCAGACCGCAATCGCAAAAGCGCAGCAGCTTATCAATTTGAAACATGCCACAGCCATGGCCAGGGATTCGAACCATTTTCTTCCGTTACGGAAGCTCGAAGGATTGCGAGAACCAAAACTGACCGCCTCAACCAATCACAAAGAATTTCATCAACACAAATCACCTTCCGCTTGCTAACAGGGTGATGGGTTGCATTTCGGGAAATTGTGCCATTACACGATGACATGCGTATCGCAACCCATTAATCGTTCTCAAGCTTGCCTTGCGGTAGTTCGTAGTCAAGATGTTGCCACCCGACTTGACTAAGGCAAGCATACTACTAACTAGTAGCGCATTTCAGTCTAAACATATACGTGATTTCTGGTCAGTGGCATACTGAGGTGCCGAAATAGGCAATATTTGGTGGCTGAGGCTGCGAAACCGACTGCCGGAAGTGATTCATTATGCTTCCACAGGATACTGACCGCCTAACTTACGGAGTAACCAAGTGAGCAAGCACACCATACAGATGAAATGCGTTTCACTCGGGTTTCACATCAGCAATTTGTTACAACTGTTCACAGCCAATAAACCGGTGCTCAGTATAAATTTTGACCATTAGTGTTGAAAACCCGAGGGGGAATTCATCACAGTCACTGCGGAAAACTGAGCATCAGCTGGTGGATTGTTTCAGTGTTGCTCACTCTCTCTCATCTCTGCACTCCGCTCAGCTAACTTCCCGCTTAGACGGGCGATAGCACTAGAAGACCACTCCACATGCCGCCACCTATTTATCCTCAAAGGATCATAAGTCATCATTTTATGAACAACAGACGAAATTCATAAAACAAATGCAAATGATCGGGAAGCGGAATACGTGATTCTACTTAGTTATCGCTTCTGCGCATCTAATAATTAAGCACGCAGTACTATCCCAGATATTCCGTGATACCGCACATAGTGTAGGGAGGCGGAAGGCAGCGCTTGCCCAAAGGATGGTTAGATCATTAAAACGGAAGCGGACGAATAGAGAGACGGATGCAATGGGAGCGATTCGCTGGAGAAACTCAGGCCCAACAGAACGGGACAAAAACGGGACAGGAGCGACATCCGTGGGTAAGCCCGAGGCAGGCAAAGCAGGTGGAGAATTTGTTGAAGATGCAATAAATCGGACAAAACCGCCGGTATCGCATCTTCAATAAACAACTCCGAGGAGAGTGATACACCCACGGCCAAGCAAAGCGCACGCTATCGAACGACTCCGGCTTTGTCAGAATCGGAGGCGTGGTAGCGAAGATACACGGGCGAAACGGACATAGAAGATGCGTTCCCGTACCCCCAGAAGGAGCATAGAAGTGCCAAGAGCGGAGGTCAGGAGGGATGGTGCAACATGGGGAAGAAATCTGACTCATTAACGTGCGCCTGTGTGAGTGGCAGTGTGGTGTGTGTTCGCGCCAATAAAGATCGTGCTTCATTGCCGCGTTGTTCTGTCGCTACAATAGCACCTCATTGATTCCTTTATACACAGATGAAGGCCGTGTTTTCGAGATGGGGAGTGTTACATCCGGTGATTTTAAGCCTAAGTGTATAACGCGGACACTTGGCTTTGTTCATAAACTTCAGTCTCCTACACATTTGGATTGCTGTCCGCGTGGGTGAGGTCGCCGATCATATGGCGCGGGTTGCCTTATTCTTTCTCTTGCATTACCCCAGCGTTTCTTAAAATGTGATCCGTGGACCCACAAGGAGTCCACGGGATACTTGTAAGGGGTTCATTGGATTTCACCGAAATTTTATGGTTTCGTTAAACATTTTTGGAGTTGATCAGTTAATTTTATACTCCGGCGGCAAACAAAAGAAGTACTTTGAATGTAAGCGAGATGAATTGCTGAACACCCAAAAGTGCATCCTTAACACGTCTCAGGCTGTAAATGAAATGACCACTGGAGCATCTCACATAGCTAGTTATTGCATTTCAGTGATAGGGGAACCTCACACACTAGCCGAGAAAGTTGTCAAGCCATGTGCAGTCGAAATGGCAAGGTGTATGCTGGATGAAAAACCAGCAAAACAAATGTCTGTAATACCACCATCAAATGATACGGTATCGAAGAATCAAAACACTACCAACTGCTGTTAAGAAGGAATTGACTTCAAGCGAATGAGCCGACAAATGTGGCAGAACTTGCCGTACTGTTTGAGCTTGTAAGTTTCCAACACCAACAATCTTTGGGAGATGTTTTTGTGAACATCTGCCTAAGAACACTAGTGGCTCGGAGATGTTCAGCATCGTATATAATTTCATACGCGAAAATAACATTCCATGGGACAACTGCATCGAGATTTTCACTGATTGTGCCAAAAGGTTGCAGGTGTTGTGAGAAGAATTAAAACCATTGCGAAAGTCTTTACCAGTAGCCAATTTATTCGTTGATAAGTCAACCTCGTAACTGACGTCGATGAGGCAGTAAATATAAGTAAGTTCATTAATGTTCGCCCACTGGACAAACGACTGTTCAAAATACAGTGTGACGATATGGGAAGAGTTCACATATCTTTACTGATCCAAGCTGAAGTAACCTGGCTCACCCGTGGCAAAATATTACTCTGTTTGTTAGAATTATACCCGGGGCCCCGTCACTTTCTCCATGGTTTATTAACTTGATTTACAATTCCAGATGACCGTTAGAAAGTGGCAGGCAAAACTTGCTCATCTGTCAAATAACTTCGCAAGAACAAATGACTTAAATCTAGCGCCGTAAGGAAAATCTGCGACCAATGCAAATGATAAAATCTCAGGTTTCAAAAGGTTAGAATTTGTGGTGAATTATATTGCAATAGAGATCTTGGCAGCTTTCTTACATAAGACATTTTGTAAAAGATGGACGGGCATACAGCTCCCAGAGGATCTTACTGACAAAATTTG